GGTTATGAGGGGCCTGGAAGCACACAAAACACTCGTCGTCTGAAAACTGAAACATCGCGAATGCCAAGATGTAATGATCGAAGCAAAACGCAAACCAATATAGCATGGATAATAGCAAAAATCCGACACATCGTGTCGAAGCCCCACCAGTCTGTGGGAAGAAGTACCAACCCGAAAATGCCGACGAAAAAGCACGCTAAAATACACCGGAAAGCTACAATCTCCGAAGTAGCAAACTGGAGACAAGTGCCTACTGCAAAGTACACTATAATACAACATCACGAAACACTACGTCTGCGCAGAAAAGCACCCACTCCAAAGTGGACTGTAATACAACCTCACGAGACACTACGTCTGTAATGGATAACAACAAACTAAAGTACACTGAGAAAGTCACGAAAATGCAAGTCCATAATCCGTCAACGATCGTCGTGCACACGCAGATCTCGCTGGGACCGATGAGAAACTCCTCCGTGGGATCGATCCCTGCCGCCTTCTCGATCTCTCTGACGCTGGCCGCCGCGTCCGCGAGCGGGAGGCTCGGGAGTGACGGGAAGCTCGTCGGGATCGTCGCCCATAATGACTCTCCTGCCTCTCACCGTCCTGATGGCTGCTGCTGCTAGGTCATCACGTCGGCGTGCCTCGCATGCCATAGGCAGACCGTCAGTCCCTGAAGTCTCCCCCTCCTGGCGTCGATCTAAGGGCACGTGTCGGGTCTGCCTCAGTCGTGTAACAACATCAGGCTCCTCCAAAATAATCGACGCCTCTCTCAAACCGTACGTCCGCGGCGGATCCACTGCACTCGTCGTGGCACCGCCTACACCCTCACGTCTGTCGTCACCGTCACCATCACTGCCACCGCCGCCACCCCCTCTACCGCCAAGCCCTGCAGCTACAACATCTCGACGTCTCGCGCTCGTGGAAACCCCTATCAAACCTGGCTGACGACCGACACTCGCCGTCGTCACCCGTCTCGTCTCACTCCATGGTCGATCTGTGCGACCGAACAACATGGTGTCCAGCAACGCCCGCGCACGCTGGGTAGTGTCTCTCCGTCTACGGGCAACTGACCTCGGGGTGAGGCTGCCGCCCTCCCTCGGAGCTGCGCTCAAGGGTGACGAAGGGCCTGCGGCGCCTCCAGATGGCGCTGCGACCGAACCTCCAAAGGTAAGTCCCCTGCGACCCCGCCCGATGCCACTGCGACGGAACCTCCAGAAGGTAAGCCCCCTGCAGCCCCGCCAGATGGCGCTGCGACTAAACACCCAGAAGGTAAGCTGGGGCTGGCTGGCCCCCAAGATAAGTCCTGCATGTGAGGCAGCTTCCCCTCCCCTGGGACTGACCTCAAAATGCGCTGGTCGATCTCCGTCAAATCCCTCCTGCCGTGGTCCTCCAACTCCTCAGCGGTCATAAAACCAAAAGGGAGGCTGCCTCGAGGCGTAGCCACATGCCTAATCTCCGGCCTCGTCCGTGACGGCGCAAAAGTAGGGACCGGGGGTATGCACGCGCCCCTACCTACACGTCGCTCCTCGACCGGGCCACCGCCGTGTGCAGGACACCTAAAACCCTCCAAAAACGGTTCCTGATGTGGCACCATTGGCCCCACAGCAGTGCGAACCACCAAAGTCTGTGGCATCTCCTGTCCATCCGCGTCACGCCTGTCCACCTGTGTGGGGTCTCCCCTCCCAGACGTGGACATCGGATCGGCCGCGGACGGCACCCCCGACCCGCCAGCACCAACGGTCCCCGCTACAGCACCAACGGTCCCCGCTACGGCCCCGTCCCCCCCGGTGGTCGGCGCTATCCCCTCCGCCTGTGCCGATGGGCAAATATCATCAACGCCCACTGACTTCCCCGTCGGTATGTCCTCCAGACCCGGGGACATATGCACGGCACCCTCGACTGAACTCGCAGGCAGAGGCACACCCGCGACCTCCTTCACTGTCTCCTCTGGCCTCCGCTCCACGGCAGGATGTGCGCCGGCTCCGAACGTGGCTCCTCTGTCGGTGCCAACCCGCTCTCGTGCGTCCCCTGCTGGACATCCACTCCCGTACTCGAAACCTCTGTTGAAGCTGTCTCCTGCTGCATCGTGTTGTGAACCTCTGCTGGAGTATTCGTGTGGGCAGCTGGCCCCGCGTCAACAGACGCCAGCGTAAATGTCCCCAGCTGCCTCTGTCGGTCCTCAGCCGCAAGACGGGCGAGCTCCTGCGTCCAGGGGTCCCTCTGTGCCATGAGGCACGCTCGACAACTATCAAGCCTATCCAGCCTCTCTGCAGATGTCTCTCAAGGGGGTGTCCGGTCCTCATCCCCCTTTGCCCCCAACATCACCTCTGCGCGCATGGCAGGGGAGAAACTACTCGGGTCCGCGAAGCTGATCTGTCCCAATAAGTCCTGCATACCCACACTGATGTCCCCACGGGACTCGCTCTCTCCTAGGGCCAGATCCACGCTCTCTCCCTGGGGCATACCCATATCGCCAAACTCACTGAAACCGCCTCCTCCGCCCATCGGTATCCCCTCAACCGCCGCATCAGCCTCGGCACTGCCTCCACCTCTGGCCAGTGCACCACCATCTCCACCAACCAACCTCTGTCTGTCTCCGTCGTCACCCTGCACCGGCACAGGACCGCCCTCCAATCTGTCCTCCAATCGCTGTCTCGGGCCCCTCACCAATCTCTGCAATCGATTTGCAACGGCTGGCTGTCGATGAAGCTGCTCCGTTGAAGTGGGAAGAGCGGTGGATGATGTCGTGCCAGAGCGACCCAGAGGACGATGGCCAATCCCTGACTCTACCCCCCTCGAAGGTGCAGACCCAGGATCTGTCTCCCGCTCAGCGGGAAGCGAAACGGTGGACGTAGGCCTCGGACGCTCTAAAGGGCTCCCATGACGACCCCCAGACTCCTCCTCCAAATCAACCTGAATGAAAAGGTCATCTCCGCCACTCCGTCCACGGACGTCCTCTTGGTCGCTCCACTCATCATGCTCATCCGCCGCAGGAGTGGTGCTAGCGGGGCCCGCCGGCCCGCCGGCTCGTCCTCGTCCTCGTGACCCTCGGAATCACTGTCGTCTCGAGGGTACGGGTGCAATGTGGCGGCTCGAGTCCCGAAAACATCGCCCACATCACCCGGAGGAGCTCTGGACCCACATGGGTCTAATAGCCATGAACGTCTCTGATCCTCGACCTCCTCCCGCGTCCTACTCTCGTTCGTCCCCTTCCACGTCGAACAACGACTCATCTAGAGTCCACGGCGGCGCGAACCCGCGACCTGCTCGCTGATGAGATAGAAGGCGGACGTTGGCTGAGATCTCAACCAACTTCGCGACCTTCTCGAACTCAAGCCGGTTACGCTTCTTCATCTGTACACCCTCGTGGACGGCCCAATTCCTCTCCGCAGGAGAGGAGCACGTCCACATGTAGATCACACGAAGAGCGATAACCTGCAGCTGTGGGGCGCACTGCCCGTACCTCGACCACCAACACCCGGACTCGTACGTCTCTGCATCGCCCCTGCACCTCTGTGCATCTCTGTCTCCGTCTCTCCCCCCCCAAGCAATCGTCCCCCTCCATGTGTGGAAGTCGCGCAACTGTGCACATGCGGTCTCGTAGTCGCGGCTCGCCACACTGAACCCTGTCTGTGACAAGATGTAAGTTTTCGCCTCCCTCACCAAGCTCGTGTCGTAGTCGCTGACCACGCCCTCGAAGTACCGCAAGTCCCSCCGGCTGGGACAGAGGAGGTGAGCAGCGGCGTGCGCCGGCTCCAGCATGTGAGCGCATCGAGCCTGCACCCTCTGCACAATTTAGTGTGCAAGATCTGGCGGAAGTGCACAAACCTCCTCTGCCACCTGGCGGGCCAGATCCTGCGTCCACTCAACCACCCGCGACATGTGCTGCCCTCCGCGGTCCAACCTGCGCAGCAGGTCGTACACAGGCTCCATGATACGGAGCAAGATGCCCATGGAATCCCACCAACTGCCATGTCGCACCTACCACCTGACCCACCTAGCCAAATGACGAACTGAATGGTCCCAAGGGACCATACCCCAACTATCGTCATCCACCGTCCTCTCCAAAGCTGACCTCACTGCCAGCAAACGCTCCAGCATCGCGAACACGGATGCGAAATGTGTCTCGCAAGGATAGATGAGGCCCATCTGATTGCTCTCCCCCCGGAAGATATGGAGAGCGGCGCCGTGCTCCTTAATGAAGTGCACCACCGCTCTCCCCCTCACGATGATGTCCTTGGACCACGGGCCCGAACAGCCAATGTCTGACAACATCTTGTTGCAGACATGCACTGCACATGGGAGCCACGTGATCCGTCGATGCTCCGACCTCTGCTGGGGCCCCTGGAGCATGTTCGCCGCGGCGACGTACGTCGAGGCGGAGTCGGTGCAGATGGCGTTCACCCACTTAGGGGGGAAGTCATCGAACACCTTGATCCACCGCGCCAGCACATCAGGCGCCCGATCCCGCTCACCCTCCCTGTTCATCGTCCGGACGAGCATCACCCCACGCGACCCGCCGGCAAGGAAGTTAACGATGGGTCTAGCATCGCATGACTTCCTTTCGTCTGACATAATGGTGGCCCCCGTGACATAGAAAGGAGCCCTGACCTCCGCAAGATCAGCTCCCACATCGTCCGCCGTGTGGACAATGGTCTCTATGTCCGCGATCTCATTCTCTGAAGGCCACAACACCTTCACTGGCCCCGGCAAGTCCCTGAAGTGTCGGACGACGTCCAACCATGGCTCGCTTCGGAAGACGTTGAACGCCAGGAGCTGACTGTACACAAACCGCAGCCACTTCTTCTTGAACTCCATCTGCCACTTTGAAGTGAACGACTCCGTGATCGTGTTCTGTCTCATCCTCTTCTGTGCTGCGGCTGCTGCCGTCGGTCTGTCCCCCTCCTCTCTCTCCTTCCTCTTCCCCGCAGACGCACTTGCCTCAGGTGTATCCGCACCTGCCCGTGCACGAACCGACACGTGCGCCGATGCAACGTACTGGCCCTGCTGCCCCCCCGGCTCGTTGACAACGCCCTTCCCTCGCTCCCTCCTTGACGACCCCGCCCGTGCAACCTCCTCGTCGTCGTCGTCCACATTGATCTGCTCCCCCGCGTCCCTCATCTCTCCCTCCCCCCCCTCGTCCCGTTGCGGATCCACCGCAGGCGCCGCACCGTGAAGCTCCTCAAATCGCTGTATCCGCTCTAGGAACTTCTCGGACATCTTGTACTCACTATTATAGTGGATGTCGACAAGTGCCTCGTCTGTCACTTCCGGACATCCCTTGCCATGGCGGAAATGGCGCGCTGCCACGAACTGGTTGCCCTGGAACTCGTCGCCGCGAAAACACACTTCAACATGCGATTGCCGCGGAATCTCTCGCCGAGACTCTGTCCCACGCGGATGTACTTGTACACGCAGCACTTCTTCTGCGCCTTCAGATTCTCGTCTTGCCCCCCATCCTCATACACCTGAGATTGACTTCGCGGCATCGTGCCCGCTTGCCGATGGGTTCACCGAAGCGGTCCTCCCCTAGCCTGTCCCACGAA